GGATGGGAGTATCAGAGACGATGTGATTGGCACAGGCCAGAGCAGAGTTTAGGGCTGTTGTACATAGGGTCACTATGAGTCTCAAGCGACTCGATGGCACATAACAACAACATTAATTGAAAGAGAGCTCTGGTGGCTTGCTATTGTTATGTTCTGTTGAGTCACCTGTGACTCACAGCAACCCTATGTACAAGAGCTCTGAACCCTGCCCTATGCAGAGCCAGTCTCACTGTCTCCGGCCTCCATCCCCATGATCTCAGTTACTGCGTTAATCCACGTCAGCCTGGGTCTTCCTCTCCTGCACTGCTCCTCCACCCTTTAAGCGTGATGTCCTTCTCCAAGGATTGGTCCCTCCTGGCAACAATCTGGTGGTTTAATGGTAAACAACTGCCCTGTCAAGACAGATGGGTAATTTTATTGCACCACAGGAGAGCTGCCCCATGGGACAAAGATGGGCAATATTCTTCTGTGTGATTAACTACCTCCGAAAACCCACTGGAATGGCAGCTATGAGTTGATTCCAACTTGATGATATGTAACAGTAACATAATAGGAAGTGTTCTCAACTTGACAAAAGGCACTTACAACTAACCAAGACCTAACACTACTCTGGATGGTGAGAGTAAATGAACACCTTTCTCCTAACATTAGAACAAGGCAAGGACACCGTGTCTCCCCTTATTGTGCATTAACTCTCCACATCTCCACTGGTATCTCTCTCTCTCTCACACACACACACACACACAGACGTAGGTACAAGCACACGTTGCCATTCAGTCAAGTTTGACTTTCAGCAAGTCTATGCATCATTATTGGGGAAATCTGCCCAGCTTTCATCCATGGGGTGGCTGAGGGATTCCAATCAGCAGCCTCTCAGTTGGTTAACAAGTAACACATTACACCCCCAGAGCTTCTTTCCTCTATAAGAGAACCTCCAAGTGATTTGAGTAGATGGTCCTGGAATAGACTATTCCTTCTTTAAGTCTAGCTGAAGTCATCTCACTAAGCCACGGCCAATAGAAAATAAGTAAAGGTAAAAAGCAATGTGAAAGGTCTGTGTTTCAAACCCTTCAGCTACACCACAGGAAACAGATATGGCAGTCTGCTTCTAAACAGACTCACAGAAACCCTTTGAAGCAGCTCTGCAGTGTCCTACAGGGTCACCCTGGGCTGGACGCAACTTGATGGCAGTGAATAACGGTGTGTAATGTCAGGTGAGGGAATCTTAAAGAAGGAAGCGCGCTCTTTTTCATGGTTCTCCTAGACAAAATACAGACACGACAGTCAGTGTCTTACCAGCCAAGCAGGGCCGTCAGGGAGAAGCCACATGCTGAGGGCAGATGAGCTGTAGATCACCAGGAACCTGACTGAGTCTTACACCTGTCAAGACTGTCTCTGAGCTTTGGACTGAATTTACGACAAAGAGAAACAACTACATCTCTTTTAAACCATAATTGTTCGGGATGTTTCTACTCACTCACACCAATGTAAACTAAAACCCCCTTCACCACCAAGATGATTATGACACAGAGTAACCTTACAGGACAGAGCAGAACCACTCATAGGGCTTTTGAGACTGGAATCCCTACAGAAGCTCACTGCCTCACCTTTCTCCCATGAAGCAGCTGGCAGGTTCAAACTGTTGACCTTCTGGTTCACAGATGAGCATTTAATGACGAGGGTGCTTTCATCTTAACTAGACACAGAATTCATTCTTTACAAAAGCAGTGCCAGAGTGAGGTTTCTGTGGAGCCCTAACTAAGTTGACGTCCAGAGGCTGGTTCTCCATCAGCCATCCTGGTCACACTGTGCGCTTCCCACACCCTACCACTAGAACCCCTTTCTAATTCAGTTAGTTTGTTACTTAGAAACAAAGCACCTTAACTGATAGAACAAACTCTGCATATTCTGGACAAGTCTGGGAAGTGTTTGGATTGAGTGTATATACTCCATGAACAAAAGAAAGAGTTGCCTCGGATACAATTCCCGACTCAAAGCAGTTCAAGTCATCCTATATCCATGTTATGTTGCTAATTACGTGTAGTACCTGTGGCCCAGTAGTAAATATCCCAGTCATTACTGGGCTCATTAATCAGGCGATCATAGAGGTTCAGCTGCTTCTCTGTCATGTGGTGCAGATGCTCCTTAGCAAAGAGGCTACAAACAAGGAAGAAAGAGAAAGAGGTTGAAAGGGCTGTCTGTGGTCAAACAGAAATCACTCCAGGACTCCTCGCTCCTTACCTGAGGAGGATGCAGTTTTCCAGCATTCCCCTCTTTCTGCTCTCATAGAGCAGGCGGGCTCTTTTGGTTTCTATGCTCTCGTCAGTGCGCTCCTCCCATGGAGGCAAAGGGATTTCAATCAAGTCTTTCTGGGAATCTGTGGGGCTATCACCTCTGTAAAAGCGTCTGCAGGATGCCACGCCAAGCCCAGGGGCTGGTAGACTGCCTCTGGACAGAGGAAGCACCTGAAACAAAGAAATGGTAATCCGTGTACAATGAACGACAAGGACCAATGGTTATCATCACCATTATCATTTAGGAGTAGTGACATCACTAGATGCTAAATGCAATCCAAAGGGATTCTGGTATAAAAAAAAAAAGAGAATTAAAAAAACAAAAACTCCACAAAAAACAAAGGGATTCTGGTGACTTACTGGTAAGGAGTTGGGCTGGTGGTTCGAATCTACCAGCTGCTCTGTAAAAGAAAGATGGGCAATCTCCTTCCCTGTGATTTATTGCTTCTTTGAAAACCCACTGAAGGTCAGTCATGAGTCGGTTCCAACGCTAAGATCCACAATAACAAGCACAGTCCACACCAAGCTCATTGTCATCAAATCCATTCTGTCTTAGTGAACACAGTGGTCAAGGACCCAGTTAATCAAAATCGCTGACCTTCTGGTTAACCCATGATGAAGAGCTTCAAGGGTCTGCGATGGGACGGTTCTGACTTGATGATATGTGAAAAAAAAACCAAAAAAAAACAAGTGCAGCCCAAACCAAACCCATCACCATAAAGTTCATTCTGAGGCTGTGGTGGCACAGTTGTTAAGGATCTAGCTAGTCAAAATGTCTCAGGTTGAATCCACTGGCCATTCTGCAGGAGAAGAATGTTGCTGCCTGTGACCATAGAGATTTAATCTCAGAAACCCTTGGGCACAGTTCTACTCTTCCTTATTGTTGTTGCTATGTGCTATCAGCCAAGAAAGACTCACAGCTACTCTGTGAACAGCCCACCTGAGCCCTGTGCCATCCGCATCATCTCTGACACACTAGAGCCGTTGCTGAAGTTGCCCTGCCAAGCCACCCCCTTGAGGGGGGTCTTCCTCTCCTTTGCTGACCCCCCTCCATCTTTCCAAGCACGAAGTCCCTTTACAAGGCATAGCCTCGCCTGGCTACATGTTGAGATCTTCTACTGGCTAGAATCCACTGGACCACAAGGGGTTTTGTGGTTTTAAGGTTTTGTATACCAGTCATCAGGTTTGTCCTGGAGAGGGTGAGGCCAGGCTGTTGCTTAGAGGCAAGGATTCTGAAGCTTCATCTGACAAACTTTAGACATGCTGCAAGGAGGGACCAGTCCTTAAAGACATGCTGCAAGGAGGGACCAGTCCTTAAGAGGCACGTCATGCTTGGGAGGGTTGAGGGACAGCGCAGGAGAGGAAGGCCCTCTATTAGATGATTGATTTAGTGTCTGGGGTAATGAGTGTAGGTGTGAGATTGGCACAGGATAGGGCAGGGTTTAGGACTGCTGTACATGAGGTCGGGGCACATGACAACAACAAAACAACAACACACCAGACATCCGTCTGAAGATAGAGACGGTATGGTCCCTAATTCTCCAAAGGTGCTTAATCAAGAGAGGTGCAAGAGATTACAAAAACACAATGGGAAGTCATATTAACAGGAATTAGAGAAGATTTAACAGGGAGAAGCAGCACCCAGGGTCGCTTAGGAGGTAAATGACATCTGAACTGGGTCTCTCGTAGGATGACCAAAGACAATCAAAGACAGCAGAGGGCACGTATAAGCGGGCTCACGAAGGGGTAAAGGCCATCAAGAGTTTCCTAAACTGCAGGGCTGGCTTCCCCTTCCGTCTGCCCTTGACCTCTCCAACTAACAGTCTCTCCCTGCGGTGACCGTGACCGCAGGAACCGCAAGCCTCGGCCATGGCCGCCCGCCCTATACCCGGGGACCCGCGCTCCTCTCACCCGCGCCAGAGCCGAGAACACCCGCGTCATTGCCATCTTCCGCCGGCCTCGAACCGGAAGCCGACGTCCCGTGCACTTCCGGGAGCCCCTCGGTCCCCGAACCCTTCGCACCCGCGAGCGCGGAGCCCGAACCGGAAGACGCGTCCCTGCGCGTGGCGGAAGTGGAGGTGCGTGTGACGCCGCGGGGGGAAGGGGGCGGGGCCTG